TCAGTAATTTCAAGAAAAATGATTCTTTCTCTTGCAAATGTCTCAGAGTGAGTTATTGAGACTTTAAGTGCCAGTTAATGAGAAAGGAATGGACTCTGGGGAATATGCAGCTATTTTCCTCTGTGTGTCTCTGTACTTCAACTGAGTAGCAAAAAAACACAAAAAACAATTTTACCAGAAATTCAAAACTCTGCAACATGTACAGCTGTGTCACCAGGGCCAATCTAACACATTTTGGCTCCTGTGACAGACCAGAAAATCCACACACACACGTTCCCCCCCTTCCCAGTTAAGGCTTACCATGTTAAAACCTGAGTTCCTATGACAGGTAAGGTAGGAAATCCTACAAGCCCTGTTCCTGCCTGTAAAAATACAATATTCAGCAAACAAACAAATACATAAAATGGCTGCCTTTTCTTCACACCTAATGTCTGTTGTTTGAGACAGCTGTCTCAACCTGCCAATGAGACAAATGTCTCCGTTGGGACAAAAGGTAGATTATATATCTTCTTTGATATTTTTGCCAGTCTCTTCTTCCTATTAGGCAAGGACAGGTAAAGAGTGAATCCCTCTAGTGGTGGTTAGAGTCCAGCCTCCATCATCTCTAGCTAGCATAGCCAATGATGAGGAAGAATGGGACCTGCTGGCTAGCAACCTCAAAAGCCCTCCTTGTTATGAGGCTTTAGCTTCTTTCCCGCACAATACTCTCCTATGGAGTGCATCTGAGCCTTTCTTTTTCTCTCGCTCTCTGATTGGATCATCAGTGCATGCTGTTAATGCAGATGGAGTGTGGAAGAGAACTCCTTTGAGGAGGGACCCTCACGCAGTGGCTACCCATAGACAGAATGTCCCAGTTTTAATCCCGAGGGTCTTTTGTCAAAAGGCTCAGAAAAGGAAGGAGGCAGTTAACCCTTCTGTGCCTCAGATCCTGTGAAGAAGCTGCAAGGAAGGCTTTTAAAGAAAGCCCTTGCATGTGGGGGGAAAGGTTGGCAGAAGGTTTAAACTGAGCTGATCTGGACTTGATCAAAATTAGGGGTTGCCCATATGTCCTTGGGAAGTTTTGTTGTTGCTGTTGTTGTTTAAGGAAGAGATAGAGTTATTTTATATTACTTCAACCAGTAATATAAAGCAAGCATAGTAAAATGAGCACAAACACCAACATGAGAGAGATTACTAAAAATATAACTCAATTGGATAAAAAGTCTAGAAAATGAAATGGCAATAGTGATAAAATGATCCCACCTCTTACTCAAGTTTACAAAGAGTGGCCTATTCAGAATGCAACATCCTGAATAAATAAGCTATGAACAGTGGATTCTTTCAGTCCAATCTAAGAAAGGCCACACAGGCAAATAAACAACATTTATAGAAAGGATACCAGGTCATGACAGTTAACTGAGGATTCACAAACAGGGCCAGGTCTTAAATGTTGACCCCAAAATGAACAGCTGATCTCTTGGCCTACAAGATTTCCAACCATGATCACCTTGTTGTTCTCTGGACCCGATTCCAGTTTGGTTCTCCTCATTAGGCCAGTGGCCATTCTTTGCAGCCCTTGAGAACCAAGGCTCTTGTTACTTTGGATAAAGTGAGAGAGAAAGGGCCATTTGGCTGTTATTTAAAACACTGTGTAGTTTGGCCCTCAGAGTAGACCAGAGGTGGGGGGGATGGTGACTTGGGTAGAGATAGAGATCTCTTGGGAGGGATTGTTCTCTTGCAGTAGGTTGGCAAAGCTACTTGCAGCAACAAAGTGACCTAGGTCATATTGTTGGAAGGAAACAACTAGAGTCTTGTGGCTCTAGAAATAATAAGAAGTAATAGTCCACATAAGCTTTGGTGGACTCCTGCTCAGTTCATCAGATGCATCATCTTTGTGATGGACTACAGCCTGTAAATATTCATGCAAAAAAAAAAAACCACGCCCCACAAAAACTTTTTTGCATTTTTGGTTGTTTTGCTGCAGCAGCCTAAAATGGCTTCCCCAGGTCAGTTGTTGATCTGAAAGAGAGCTTGGAGAAAGCCAGAATGGAATTTTATGGAGAAAGACAACGAACTTTATTCTGTTTCCGGTACTTGGCACAATTTCCAAAGCTCAGATTGCTTTCATTCTAGCCATTTCCCTTTCCCACCAGGGTGTACGTAGTTGGCAGATCTTAATGTCTGGTGGAAAGGAAAGTCAATTTGACAAGCCTAAAGTCTACCAGCTCCTATTGGCCTAGGTTAGGAGAGAGCTTAGCAGGTGGTATTTCCAGTCACTGGCTGGAATCCTGTTGGTCTTTGCCTAAAGTTGGTGTAGCTTGCACTGGCTAAAGGTGGCAAATGGAGAAAGTGCTGAGGTGCATCTTCACTGCACAACTGAGCACCTGGCCAGACACATGATGGAAACTTGCTCTATCCTGCTGTCAGACAGCCACAGTTAGCCACAGCAAGTTATGCAAACCTTACCTAAAAACCAACAGGATTCTGGCCAGCGCAGTCATAGCACTAGCACTGACGGATAGTGTGATCCTGTCCGTTTCAGGCCAGTTGAGCTTAACCCTTACTCTAGGGTACCTCAAGCTGCAGCTTCAACCACAAAAGGCACTTGCTGGTGGGAAAAAAAAAACCAAGCACACCCATCTACAGTGTTAGGTTTGTTGTCACAAAATAACAAAGGAGTTGTGTGGCATCTTTAATTTGTACTATAGCATGAACTTTTGTAAACAGACTGCCCACTCCCTCCACCACGTGGAACACTATTCAGGGCCCTGAATAAATATTAAGATAGTGGATCAAAATATCTTCATTTCCAGCTCCATGAAGTCTGTGGACTATCCTGGGTAACATCCAGCGCCAGTGCTTCACATGATTAGCTTCACATTATATGTATCTCAGGACAGTATGCAGACTACAAGGACTGAAGGCCAAGCCTTCTCCCCCTTTTCCTTCCTCCTCCCCCCCCATTTACTGTTCTAACTTGGCAAAGTTTGCACATTTTTGTCTGTGCTGTTCGCTTGTCAAATAAAGGTATTAACCCCCCCCCCATCTTGATGCTGGGATCTGTTTTGTGCCAACACTGCTCTCTCCTCTTTCATCTCTGCCCGGTGTTGTTGCTGCCTAATAGGATTGTTCTCACCCTTTTCCTGCTTTGAAGTCACATTGTAAAGCAATCAGGAGTTTTCAAAGAGGCTTCAGTTATAACTGAGCGCATCCCAGAGCATCTATCAGCCTAGCTTCTTTACAGCCCTGTCCTTAACAGAGCACCAGGAGTGCAATGTAAAGAACTTCCCCAATAAACCTCGTGGCACCTTTAACAAGTCATTTTTCGGCAGGAACCTGGCTGGATTTAGCCTACTTCTTTAGACACAAGGAATCTGGTGCTCCACCTTATTTGTAACTTCTTAGTGATCCACAAGTGCAAAAAATGGTCTGAAGCTCAACATCAAAAAAACTAAGATCATGGCCACTGGTCCCATCACCTCCTGGCAAATAGAAGGTGATGGCAGTGACAGATTTCACTGTCACTGATATAGAGGCAGTGACAGATTTCACTTTCTTGGGCTCCATGATCACTGCAGATGGTGACAGCAGCCCCAAAATTAAATGATGTCTGCTTCTTGGGAGGAAAGCGATGACAAACCTTGATAGCCTCTTAAAAAGCAGAGACATCACGTTGCCAACAAAAGTCAGAATAGTCAAAGCTATGGTTTTCCCTGTAGTGATGTACGGAAGTGAGAGCTGGACCATAAAGAAAGCTGACCACTGAAGAATTGACGCTTTTGAATTGTGGTGCTGAAGGAGGCTCTTGAGAGTCCACTGGACTTCAAGGAGAACAAACCTATCAATTCTAAAGGAAATCAATCCTGAGTGCTCACTGGAAGGGCAGATCCTGAAGCTGAGGCTCCAGTACTTTGGCCATCTCATGAGAAGACTCGACTCCCTGGAAAAGACCCTGATGTTGGGAAAGTGTGAAGGCAGCAGGAGAAGGAGATGACAGAGGATGAGATAGTTGGACAGTGTCATCGAAGCAACCAAAATGAATTTAAGCCAACTCCGGGAGGCAGTGGAAGACAGGAGGGCCTGATGTGCTCTGGTCCATGGGGTCACGAAGAGTCGGACACGACTAAACAACAACAACAACAAGTGATCCACAAAAGACAGGCTCCATACTCCAACTTTCCCACCCTGTAGATCCCAGAGTCTCTTTTTTTGCTTAATTGTACTTCAAGCAGCCAAAAAAATTGGGCTGTAATTCAGGGAAGTTCCTGCGGAAACAAAGTTTATTAGTCTTGGGGGGTGGGGGGGGGAGAGGCACAAGATTCTTTTGTTTTTGCTGCAACAGACCACCACAGCTATCTCCTTGGGAGGGAGGAAGAGCCACCCTTGTTAAAGAGTGTGCAGATTTAAGATCAGGCTGCCTTGAATTCAACTCAGAGCTGGAGAACGCTGATACAGTTCCCAGTAGTTCCCCCAAAGTAACGTTCCTCTCCTCCCCCCCACCCCCAGTTGAGGCAACGGTTGGAAAAGAAGGCAGGGGGAACTTCAGAGGGCAGAGGAGGGCACGGAGGCCAGAGAGAAAAGGCGAAAGACGGGGCGAGGCGATTTAAGATCAGGCTGCCTTGAATTCAACTCAGAGCTGGAGAACGCTGATACAGTTCCCAGTAGTTCCCCCAAAGTAACGTTCCTCTCCTCCCCCCCACCCCCAGTTGAGGCAACGGTTGGAAAAGAAGGCAGGGGGAACTTCAGAGGGCAGAGGAGGGCACGGAGGCCAGAGAGAAAAGGCGAAAGACGGGGCGAGGCGAGGC